CACCAAACATCTCATTAGTATGCAGGACAGTTTGGTGGGCTTTTTGTGACTGGAAGGAAAAAGTACTGGCTTGCTAGTGAACAGCTGAGGGTTACAGTGCACATCCTCACACCATGACAATGATGTACAGCTTTGGTAACACAATCTCAAAAATAAAACACCAAGGCATAAGTAGGCTGAACTCTTTTTCATGAAAGCAGGAGCTAGGATGGTTGCCTAAAATATTTTACAACATGATCTGGTCAAGAGGTTTAGTCTAACATTGAAAACAAACTGAGTGGACTCTGTAAGCTGTAAGGGCAGTCAGGAGCTAACTGAAGAACACTTTTGTCCTAATAGTCCCTAAAAATTAAAGGGAATATTTTTAAAATTTGATTCCTACCTTCCTAAACTCGTAATTTCAAAAAGAAAATGTCTAGGCTCAAGGAATGCACTAGATATATCTGAAAACACTAGACTAAAAAAAACTCCTCCAAAAAATCACTGTCACAAAGGAAGTGTATAATCTAGTTAACATATAAATATACAAAACAAGTCAAAAAGCACGAACAGACAACTGTGCATTCTGCCAACAGAAAATCTCGACATACCATACATACATCTTCCCTATCCTGAGGACTCATATGACAAAGCCACTGTAGCCAAATGAAAAAGAACAAATGTATAATTCATGAGGAATAGCTTTTTGACACACTAGAGCTTTTGGCTGTCTAAAAATAGAATTGTGAAACATAAAAAGCAGTAGTATTGTCTCTAACACTACAATCATATTTTATTTTCCTAATATTGTCCCCTGTAAAACCTACAATTTTGAGCTCATTCCTAGCTTTTTAGACACTTTTTCTCCTGTTGATTTATGTATCTTTACTCGAAGGCATAACCTTATTCCTACCTTTACTTTGCTTTATGTAAATGATTTAGAAAAGAGTATGTTTACTAGCAGGTTTAAAACATTCCTTTGAGTTAGAAATTTTTTTTTTAACATGGCACATATTTGACACAAATTGTGTGTCACAAATTGATCGCAAATACAGGAAAACATATCTCCCACAGTCAAATATTTCTCCAATGATACACCATGTATGTAAGATAAGCAAACAGTTGAAAATTAATACATGATAAAGACTTTCCAGCTCGACCTTCAGTTGTCCTTTGGATCCCTTTTTCAACCTTCCCTCACCTTTGTCTTTTTTTTTTCTCTATTCAAAGTAAACATCTGTGAATTGCAATGCTACTAAAAGAAGATACCATTTAAAAAAAAATGCAAAAATTAGAGGAAGTAAGTACTAAATAACTGAACAAATCTGGAAAACAGGAGCAAATATCATCAGAGAGGAAATGTATATACACACAGACTGGGAAACTAAAAATGTAGTACATGCAAGATCAATTACAGATGATCTTACTATTTTTTTAACATAGTTGGCAGATAGCTTTGAAAATGAAAATAGTTGTCATCTAGCTGACAAGAAAGCACCTCTTATAGAAGATTAAACACAAGTACACAATTAATGCTAAATAGTAGAGACTTCCATCTTTATGTTAATATACATGCTCCAAACCTGCTGCAGCCCAATGGACATACCCAGTAGCTCAACCCCAGAACTGTCAGGCTATATTATTTTCAGTACAGTAATTATTTCAGTGACCTACTTTTTCTGTGACCAGCTTTCTACTCTAGGCAAGAATCAAAGCATAAAGCAGGAAAGTTTTATTAATATTATCAAAGATTGCCTCTCTGGTTTAGACTCTACAATTGAGTCAACAGGAAAGAAACTTGATGGGGACATTCTTGGTGAATTTCTATTGCATATCAAAGCAGGTCACAGGGTCAGTGGTTTCCCCTGTAAGAAACATGTTTTTAAGTTGATTTCTCCCCTATTTTTTCCAGGGTGTGGAGCAGTGCACATAGTTTTGCCAGCTGAGGACCCACAATACAGGAAAAGTTGTGTGACTTAATCCAGCTCATTTCTTTCATTTTTAAAATGTACCTTCTGGTGGAGAAGAAGGGGAAATAATATTGTTCTCATTAATTAAATATCCTGTCCTTATTAACATAGGTTTACATTTCACCATTACTCTGGTTTTTCCACACTTCAGGGAAAAAAATGACATTGCTGGTGCCATATAAGTGGCAGCTTGTCTCCCAGTTGTGCAGGACTGCTTGAGCGAAGGATATATTTGGGCAAAAGAAGGGATATCCTTGGGATAGGCTCTATCCTTACTAGAGGGGAGAGATTCAATCCTAGCGGATCTACTTCCTACCACCTACTGGTGAGCACCACCTATTCACATAGGAGCAGCTGTAATATTCAAAGCATTATCCCTTTTCGAGGTGTGAAAACCAAGGACCAAATTTGTCCCTAAAAAATCTTTTGCATGTATCCTCAATAGAAGTTTTAGTTAGTTATTTATCCTTCTATGTGGAAAGAAGCCTCCTTCACAGTTGCCTGCAACCATTTCACCGTCAAAACTGTCATTACTTTTAAACTTGCCAAGGGCTACTTCTCTGAGTTCTATTGTCACTGACTCATCAAATCTGAAATGATGTCTCTGACCTTTGAATCAGTTGTCTTATTTCTCTTTTGACACCAATGACAACTAGAGGAAAAATGTAGATGAAACAGTCAGAAAAAAAACAGTGAAAGCAAGCTGACAATGCCAAATCCATCTTGCAAAGTAACATCTTTTAAAGATGCTGAATACTCTGTGAAATAAGGATGCTCTCAGCAGTTGCTGCTTCTTTGGAATTCAGTTGTTAGGCTCTAAATATTTTGACTAAAAAACTAAAAAGCAGAGGGATACCTGCAGCCTTCTCCAGTGACTTTCAGAGCACAGAGGTCTTTGAGAGAGACCTTGCATAAGACTCAGTTTTACATAAGGCTCAAATCTCTCACACACAGTGAGGTCAAGGAAGGAAATCTTACAGAGCACCAGGGAACAGCCAGTCCTTTTCAGCTGTCTCCACTACCTGTTGTATTCACTGTACCTAGCTAATTGCAACTCTCAAAAATCAGACTGTGAGGATACCTCCCCAGGCAAAATGATTTGATCCGACTGTGTCCAATATATCTCCTCTTGTGGATCAGTTAAAATGTAACAAAAAGTACGCAAGTTGTGTAACATAGTGCAATGTATAATTAGCTTTGCACAAACTTTGAAACTTGAATACTAATAAATGCTAAGCTGGTAAATCCCTATTTGGGGTCATCCAGCCTGAAATGCTGTACTGAGCTTTAAACACAGTCAAACTTTACCCAGGCTATTGATCTGTATGAGGAATTACATTTAGGAATTGCAGTCCCCTTTATGAGCCCTTTTGAGCTCTCCCAGGCAAAAGGAAGACTTGGCTTTCACACATTTAATGGCTAATATTAACCAGGAAGGAAGGCAGCTCCTGAATTTGCTCACAAATCACTTCTGAACAACTCTTACTCCAATGCCTGTCTTTCTGATCTTTGGTCTCTTTGCACAGGTTCTGAGATGAGGACATCAGCCCTCTTTTTTTTTTTTGTTCTCACTGGTGAAGATTATAAGAACACAGAAGTAAATGTTTCAATAGAAAATTAAATGCATAACTCAAGAGACAGCACTACTCTGAACTGTCAATTACAATAAAACATGAGTATGTAACAAATCTAAGTAAGATGAACCCATTCTAACATACTGGTAAAAATTGAATGCTGGAAAAAATGCACATTGGTAATATGAAATGCATGAAAGGAAAAAGGCAGAAATGCCAAAGGAGAAAATAATTTCTCCTACTTCTGTGACTTCTTGACTAAATGACCTATTTCTAATTTGAAGTTAAATTCTCCCAAAGAACTACCATCCTTATAGAATTTGTACCACAAAGTTCAGACTGCAGATTAATCTGATATTATTCGCTATATTAGAGAAATTTCCTTTAATATAGACAGACATAGATATTAATCCATTGAATGATTATTATATGTCAAAAATTAATGCAAAGTTACAAAACAATATATTAAAAACTGACTGCACGATGCTTAGATTATGTAATTCATGTACAGAAACAGAAAGAGTTTAGTACTGAATGAAAGACTTGTGGTCCAAGCTAAATTGGGTACCAGCGCATTCATATAATGTGGGGTAAAATCCTACAAGATAACTACTTGCTCCAAACACAAACCAAACTTGAATATCTATTTCACTTGATTTATTCTCCTCCATTTAAAAGTTCTCAATACTCAAATCAATCATCCTGCATATGTATTTTCTCAAGATATAATACTGGTGACTTCAGGAAATGTCCATCAGGCTAACAACCACCACGAAACTGTAAGCACAATGTAACAGCTCATGTTACTGGAAAAAAAAAAAAAGGCAGCCAGCACACCTTCTATACTCTGAGTGGATGGTATTACTGAATGGAGTTTACTCTTGCATGACTTGGGATTTCTAAAACATATTTTTCAAAACATTATAGTATACAAGTCCATGGTTTCTGTAAGCACCATGAATTCTTCCTTTGCCCCATTTCTGACTTACCTGATTCCTCAGCATTAAGTTCTGATATAACTCATAGTCTGTCTGTCTAGTCACAAGAAACTCATGTCCGAAAAAACAACCACAGATAACCATCTCAATAAAAAGGAAAGCCAAAGGTTTGGAGATGACATTATACTCAACAATGTGTTTCATCCAAGGTGAAATTGTGTGTTATTACATAGGCAGGCTGAGATTTTCAAATCTGTATTAAGGATGGGTACACCAGATTCTTGAGAACAAGGCATTCAAACCTCTTGAACATTAAAAGCGTTATTCACTTGAGGAAGAATTAGGGCAAACACTGGTTGCCAGAGATAGTATTGCTAAAACCATTACAGTTCTTAATGTCAGTAACATTTTGTTTTCCAGGTGTGAAAAGAAAAATTCCTATAGGAACACTATTTTGTTTAAAACATCAAGATAATTCCAATAAAGAAAAATTCAATTTAATATTACTGAATTAGGCAAAATAAATCACATCTACTTACCAAATCAGTTTGTTGGGGTAGGAATCACACATTTCAGATTCAAATATTTTTGGTAAAACAGGTTTCCAAACATATAAATGCATTCAGAGATTCTGTGGAGACAATACAGAGGCAACATCAACGTTTGTTCAGGGTCTCTTGTTTAGGTTACATTATTTTAGTGCATCATATATATTAGCCTGATGACAATTTTGAAAACCTCTTCTTACAAAAAAATGAGAATTTTGCTATATTTATTTTTTATTTCATATAGAGTCAGTCTATCACTTTTAGAAACATGGAAAAAAAATGCATTTTTTTTTTTTAACAAGAGGACAAGAATTTTCTATTCAGCTACAATAATCACTTTCCAGCTAGTACATTCATCAAAGAACGAGCAATTCACTAGGGTAACATATGCAGGAGCTTTCTTGTATATATTCATATTGTCTTCTGCCTGAAAAGAGTTAAATAGAGCATATAAATGATGAATACAGAGTGTCTTGGGATACAAAACAACTAAAATGGGTTAATTAGTGAAAAACATGCATCAGAGTATAGGACTCAACTGTAAATGTTACGGTTTTTTAAACCTATTATATCTGCTGATAGTATTTGGGATTATGGATAATATATATAAAAAAAGATGTTAATTTACAAAAGGAGTTGAGTGAAACATATTAAAGGGTAAGAAATATTCATTGTTTGAATAATAGTTCAGATGCATTCACATTAAACATACATTAGCGAATACATTTCTTTGACATGCTCATATATAAGCATAATATGTAAGTGACCTAGAAAATACAGACATTGTATAATCAATGACAAAAATATTGAGACAGATAAGCCCCGAGATCTTTGATCAAATATATTCTTTGGCAAATAAACAAAACATGTTATCCTGACAAAAAATATTCTTTGGAGTATTGGAGCTGTGCCTTCCCCAAGCGCCGCCCTCAGAGGCTCTGAGCCAGGCTTGCTGTCAGCACTAGATGGGGAGAAGATACTGATCTGGATAATGTGCCCCCCTTAGCTCCAGTTCTCTGTGCAGGGGAAGACTCTAATTCCTGTCTGAAGCTGCCTATTGCCAGCTTTCTGAGTGAAGACTGTATATCCCTTTGTGCTTTGTCATGTTACAGAGAGCTGACCCGACTGCTGTCGTTTTGACAAAAAAAGAAATACACTCTCAGGTTGATAAAAAGATGAATTTTATACCAATGCCAGTAAGGTGTTTTAAGGTTTTAAGGACTTTTTTTCTTTACCTAAAAAGGTTCTCTCCAGTGCTGTTGTTGCAAAATTTGGCTATACTGTTCTTTCTGCCAAAGGAGTGAGATTTGCAGGTTGGTTGTAGTGAATACTCATGTGCTACTAGTATTTAATTGAAAATGCCCCAAGTTTTCTCCTATGACTCCCTGCTTGGTTTGTTGTGTTCATGTCTGTGGGCTTCTGGAGGATGAGACACCAGAATATTTCTTTAGAGGGAATAAATCTCCTCCATAGTCTGTAGTTGAAGAGACTCCTGAGAGCCTGAAATATGCTAACTCAAGATAATAACAGTCCTTTGGTTAAAACAATCTTCTGGAACTGAGAAAATTTGCAGTCATAATACTGTTTCATAAAGTCTTTGGAAACCAATGCATCATGACACAGCTGTGTGGGTATCTATGACCTGTGATCACTCTGTTAAATTTATCTGTACAATGCGTTGTTCTCTACAACACATTGTTGTACATCTGTACAATGTTCTCTACTGAACCCTAAACAGTAGAGAAGTACAATGGTGATAGATAAAACATGAACTTGTAACTGAGCAGTAAAGTTTGCTATAGTTAAAATAAAAGAATTGGCAAAGTTTACAGTATTAAGAAATACTCGTGATTTTGAATACCAACATTAAAGTGAGACTGTTAAGTCCTCTTTTTAACTTATGCATTTTTGAAGTAAAAATGACATAATAATTCCAAACACGAAGGCAAAGTCTTTTCTTATATGGATGTTCTCAATTTGGGTTAGAAAATTGACATTTTAAATATGGGTTGGAAGAGGATATACATCAGGGTATGTAGATAGAAATGTTAAAATACTTATTTTATTTTGACAACTAAAAGCTCTGTCAGAAGGTCTTTGATTCACAAAGCTGGAATACATTCATAGTTTTGAAATATGATCCTCTATCATATTCACTTCTTAGACAGGTTAATGTCTTAAATACAAACAAATGTACATCAGACAGAATCCTAGTCTGATTTGCTTGAGGGGCTGTAAGAATAATAAGAAAAAACTATTATTAAGTAGATTTAGCATGAAAGGGAATGATTTTTTTTCCCCATTCATCTGAAAATATAATTCTGCCATTGTAGTGTGTAATACATGAGGTATCTAATAATAAACATATTCAAATTAACAAGTTTTTCATTCAAAGGTGCTGTCTAAATATTTCCTATTATCCAAGTATAACTGAACAGTGATACTCCAAACAATGCATTTCTGTAAAATCCAAATAAATTTGTCTGACAAAGAAAATAATTATGGTTTATACTAAAATATTTCTATCAGTGAAACCAGATTGCAGCTGATGCTCAATAAAAGGCTTTATAAAGAAAAACACTAAATCACTGCATCTTCTGGAAATGCCATCTTTTCAGCAATAACAGTATTTTAAACCCTTTATAAGTACTGTAACTGAAGATTAAATTTTTTTATTCCTTATTTTTAGTCATCTTGTATATCATCCAGATAGATCCGATATATAATTATGTATGTATAAAATACATACAAACTATCAGAAGTCTGACTTTTTTTGTCCTCATCCTCTGTAAGCAAACACCTTTCCTTGCAAACAACTGAGTATCTCCCACCCCCAAACATGGCCTCTGGCTCCTGATTCTGTCCCAGGACACTCCTTTACATTGAGTACCTAATGGTGGGAGCTTTGTACCACCAGCACAAGCTAGAAGGTGTTCAGGGCCTTTGGATTTAATTTGTTGTATTCACTCTTGGTGCCTTTAGATTTAATTTGCTGCATTCATTAAAGGGTAACAAAGTCACATAAGAGATAGTTAAGTTTCCTGTAAAATTCTGTTGATACATTTATGACAGGGTCCCAAAGCTAGAAGTTTGATTAACAACATACTGAAACCAGAGGTGAAGCTGCAAAGTTCCTTTGATGTCTGAACAAGATGCAAAAGTACAGTATTATGTGATGACAGCATGTAATAAGAAAAATGGATACAACAGAGCAGAAATCTATCCAAGGACTTAGAGCATAGACAAAGTCACCAGATACCATGTTATCCATGTTATTGTCAACATTGTCCTCCTAAATACCAACATTCTCACTTCCCCACATTAAAGAATCTTTGAACCCAGCAATTATACATAAATAATAGGTAGAGAATCTACCCATGTAAAATTTCCATAAAGTTTTCTGTATGAAGATTCAAAAAATGAAATTATCTGTCAAAAATTTGTATAACTTCCAACCTTTAACATGAACTGACTTAAGGCAAGATGTGTTTTATTACAGCATAAGCAAACATGCACCCAAACTGCCAACAGACAAACTGGTGAAAACTATCCCTCCTTCTGTTGTGTCCTTGTGTAGTTAGCCTTGGACTGAAAAAAAGTATCAAGAGTCCCCAAAAGCACAGCAATGAAAAGGCTTTCTCACCTCTCATTTAGAAGAAAAAGGTGAGCTTTGCCACACTGATCCCACTTTAAGTCAAAATTAAATTCCTCTTTTTTTTTAAGAGCAAATATCTTTTTAAGTCACAAACAGAATAAAAAGGTTATGCAGAGCCCCAGTAACAATATCTTTATTCTCTGTACAATCAGAGTCATCAGCCTGGTTTTTACTGCAATATTGTATAAGGACTGGAGCTTCCTTTAAGTTCATATAGAGAATCCATTGAGTTGATAAAATTATTGGCAGGTGTAAGACTGAAATCAGACAAAACATGAGCTGGTGTGCAGAGAGGTTCACGTGGTTTTGTCTCCAGTGTAAGAGAGACTGAAGGCATGTGGGCTTAGGTTTGCTCAAGCCCTTGTCACTGTGCCAGAATGGCTGGGCCAGTTGTCAGAAGTGGTGTTTTAGGAAGGGATGATATCCCCGGAGTTGTTGCTTGACTAGAAACATCAGATATTACCTTGATACAACTGCCATACAGAAGTCAAAAACAGGCAGGCAAAGCAGCAGGAGAATATGAACTGCAGTGTGAACATACAGAGGCCTCCCTTCTGGTAGATGGGATGCTGACAGTAGGTTATTTCTGCAGACATTGGAGAAAGGAAAACTCCTGTGTGCTTTCAGGAGGATTGTTGGATGTAGAGCCCTATTATCATCCTTAAGCTAAATCCTGTGCCTGTGCATAGACAGTGGTGCCTCAGTGTGATTTCTTGGGCAATTTCCATACCAAATATAGTGTAAATTGAAAATTTTCCAGAAGTATCTATGACCAGTGAGCCATTTGGTTTGCTGTGCAGTTGCTCAGGAGCTATGCCATGCCTGCACAGTAAAGCTCCTCCCTGCACTGCAGCACATGTGGCTATTGGTGTGATCCAAATCCACAGAGGGGAAGCGCTGGTGATACATTTCTCAGTAGACGGTCAGTTAAGCTCTCAGAACACCTGTCTTTTTGAGGTAGTATTTTTTCTGTCTTGTCTATCATACCACATAGTCATGATCTCTGTCTCTTAGGGTATATTTCCCCACTTTCTCGGCCCAGTAAAACTAGTTTAGGTTATTAACTTGTTCCTCATCCAAAAGCAATCCCGGTGCGACTGAAACAGCTCGCTGCCTTCCTCCTCTGATACCTGAGCCTATGAAATGGCCGCTGAAAATTCTGAAGAACAGGACAGCCCTCTGCAAACAGTTCATGGGATATATATGAGCATAACAAAATTTTTTTTATGTTTTCTTTTATATCAGAGAGGCCCCAAATATCACCAGAAACAAACTGATTCAGGTAGGTCATCGATTCTTTAGGAGCCAACTGAGTCTTTCTGGAATAGATAAAAACTTTATCAGCCTTATCTTATTCTTGGCTAGAGACTTCCTTCAAGTATCTGTT